ATCCAGTGGGGACATAATTATGGATTATAATGACTTATACTGTCTTTTTACGCGTTGTGTTGCATCGCGCCACGTAAACATAAAACCATGTCTGCATTTGTGATCGGAGAAATGACAAACAACAAGCGCTACTCTACACTGCCCAAAACTCGCGTTTGAATCATCAGTGGCAAATTCTTTAAATATGAAAAACAAACTTACAGTCTGTGAGTCAGAACAGCCGGCATTGTAGTCTACTCTCCCAGGATCAGGAAACAGTCCTCCATAAAATGTGCTGCACACATCTGAATATTTGGGTTGAACTGTTCTGGAACAGTGTTGTAAATACAACTTAACCACTGATTTCTAGTCATGTCCTCTTTTGGAAGACCAAAAAAAGTAGTTTCGCTTTCACAACGAAGCACACGGCGACTCCACAACATGGCAGCGGCAGCAACAATACTACAGCGAGAATAAAAGTTACGCCTTCTTTCTTTGCATGAACATTTGGGCGGCGTTATGCAAATCTTCCCACATAGTGATGTAGACATGTGGGGGCGTGTTAGAACGAGCCGTTTTAGGTAGGTGTGGCGGACTTTTAACTCTTATAAAGAATATCTCTGGATTTGAGACTTTAGTCTTTGCAACTTTACAGATCTTATTTATGCACCAAGAGCTTGTAACACTCCAAAGAGAAAGGAAGAATTGAAATCGCATCATATGACCCCTTTAAAAAACTAGTTCCCTCAAAAAATAAAATATAATAAATATTGAAATAAACAAAAATTATGTCATTTTACTCAGCTTGGTGTTGTTGATGTCAAACAGTGCTTAAACGGTTTTGGCCAGAATGAACTGGGCAGATCTAAAAGAGAGATTTAAATAAGGTATTTAAATTGAATAGAAGACAACAACAACAGCAACGACATCTAATTTAGATCTAAATAAAGATTTTGAACATAATAAATAATTTACTTGTGTTTTCCTCCAGTTTGTTATAAGACTATTTTTGTGAATAGCTGTCAGTTTAGGAAATACATTTCTATTAAAGGCACAATATGTAAGATTTTTTTATTAAAATATCCAAAAACCACTAGAACAGTGTTATATATTTTGCTGACTTGTGTACTTACATTATCCCAAATGTTTCGAAGAATATTTAAATCCAGAGAAATAAGCAATTTTAACTAGTGGCACGGACCATGTCCATCGTGTCATTGTGTCGCCTGCCAATTACGCCATAACCCCTCGATTTCCGGTTTTGTTTTGTAGAAAACAGAACTTTCAAATGTATCTAGTATGATAAAACAGTGCTGTTTTTTTTCCCCCACATATGCACGAGTGGCGAAAATTACATATTGTGTCTTTAAGTTACTTCATGTGATTCTGTGAATGGATATCATTAAAATATTAATCATTATTTATTGAGAGACTCTTTATGGATCAGTTCTTAGGAATTTTATGTTGTCTTCAACTTAGAAGGATAGTTCTCTCAAAAAAAATAAATACAAATAAAAATTCAGTCATTTTTTACTCACCTCGGTGTTCTGATCTAAAGCAGTAGGCTATGACCTTCCTTTTTCCGAAAACGCAGCGAGACATTTAAAGATGTCCTACTCGCGCTCGATCATATAATATAGGCTATAAGAACTCTTCTCTTCAAGCTTTGAAGAAAGGAGCAAACGCCTCATACCTACTCCTTTGCGACTCGTGCCGAAAGATATACAATAGGTTCTCTGAAGTAATTATGTCCGTTACGTTTGTCGGTTCTCATTGATTTAACGCGAGCCCTGATTTCAAACAATGGACGCGAATTTTCCTTTGCGCGCTGGCATTTATTTAAGCACTTTATTGTTATTTAAAGTGCTCAGAAAGCCAAGTCATAACTTCAGAACAACACCAAGGGAGGAATTATTGATTTTGTGTGTGTGTGTATATAGCCTACTATCCCTTTAAATTACCACAGATAATCAAACTTATCCCTCAGATTGTAAAACTGAACCATAAATGCACTACTGGAAAATGTTAACAAATTAACATGAGAATGATAGAATCATGACAAAATAAAAAGTATACCTGGTTTAACATCTACACACAAAGATGCCAGGAAAGGATGTGAGGTAACTATTCTGTGCTTATATGAATGTCGCCCATAACCACTCAAATAACACACATTTATACTGAAAAATTCAATTAAGTGGCTATTTTTGCTTTTAAAGATTTTTAAGACACTTGACTTAACCCTTTAATTGTCACCCCCCATTTTTTAAAATAGGCATGCAGGTGCACTATCCAAACTTAAATTGTTGTAATTTATGAACACTTTGGAATACAGACATAAGGTTAGGCTCTTTTTAAAGAAGAAAATCAGCAGATTATCGCAAAAGTGGAATTTGTTTTAAAGAATTAAAGTATCAAAAAGTTATGCTAGTTTAAATTTACTGTAAAGAAAATGCACTATTAATTTTATTTTATATATAATAAATATTTTACATAACAGGTTTTACTCTAAAATTGGTATAAAATTGAAGCCTTATGTCTAAATAAGTTATGTTCCAAATTTGAAGTTGATATGAAAAAAATGTAGGTTCCTGTGAGATTTTATTTAGGGCATTATACCACAAATAGCCACCGGGTGCCATCCAAACTCCATTAAAAAAATTTTTTATGCATTTTTCTGTCACAAATGTCTAGATTTCTCTGTCAATATTACTTCTATCTCAAAAAATCCTGAGACTAAGACCTTTCCAATGATATGTTTTTTGTCAAGATTATAAAAAGTTTCGATTGTAAAAGAGCGTAATGCATTTTGTAATATGACACTTAACACCGCCCACTAAGGGGGAGGAGACCGCCAAAAGATTTTAAAGTACCATTTTCATGGTAATGCAATGTCCGATTTCAAAATGGTTTTCACAGGATGAATCTTGGGCTTCTAAGCTTTCAAATGATATTTGATTTATGATGATTACTAAAGGATTTGATAGAGAAAAGTGACAACAAAAAAAGAGTGCTAAGCGTCCCACAGGTGGGACGGTGACAGTTAAGGTTAAGTGACTTTACCATTGTAATTGTATTACTGTGAACATATTTCAAATTCATTTATACAAAAATTGTTTTTCCCTGTTTTTATAAATTAACTTAGGACCTCAAAACCACACTTTAAATGACACACAGGACTTTGGTTGATCATATTTGATTTTATTGTTCAACAGGATGCAAAAAAAATGTTTATGAACATCATTCAAATAGTTTATTACTTGGCTAAGCTCTATTTTATGGTTCCAGAAGTAAGAAATAAACATCATCTTAGAAGGACAGAAACACTAATGTGAAGGTAATGCCCTTCCTCACTGAACATTTGTTCATCATTCGTCACTAATGCACACAGAACCATAAATGCTTTGTGAAAAATATAATATGTCACCACTCTCAGGATCTATATGGTCTGTTTTATCATTCAGTGGAAATGCAGATTTGTTGTCTTTGAATCAGTAACATTGCTTTGATATTCTAATGGTCACCTGTCAGGGATGATTGCTTCATAAGACATCATGTGATTTAAACTATAGCAGACATTCTGCTTCAATCATCATCATTTCAGATCTGCTGTACTTGATTTGTGAGCTCAGGGTTTCTGAGCGAGCAGCGTGCTAAGTTTGATCTTGCCGTCCATAGACGCGGTGAGGCAGGTGCCGCAGTCCATAGCTGAGCACCAATCAACCGTCACGACGGGCGCTTTATGACCGCCGAGAGACAAGACGCTTTCCAGACCAGCGTCCGCCTTATTCAACTAGA